TGGTGTTTATCATGCACTAACTTTAGTCCACGATTTACGATGATGCAAATGATAGTGAATATCTTGGGGATTGAAGATTGCGTTTTTAGATGGAAAACAAAAATACATGTATAGTCTCCAACCGGTTCCGTTATGTCATTTTGTATTCCCAACATGTACGGTTTACAAGATCTGTGAAGCAGACCGTGAGTGCAGTACAAGGTTCCGTCAATTGTCGAGAATAAGTAACACATCTGTCGGGATCGACATTTTAACAGGGTGGGATGTTCAATAGGTGCTGAACAGAGTCTGAAATTTGTATGTGCACAAAAGGCTGCGCAACATGCAAGAACAGTAATTATCACAAACTTTAAAACATAACTTCAAAATGTTTGATGTAGTACGGAATAATGAACAGACAACGTCTATTACATCACAAATCTCTAAGGAACATGTGATACATGGGGGTTTGAACACATGGTCCAGTTATGACCAACTCCACTACAACGAGTACGTTTTCTGTTAGACCATGCAGACTCGTACCTAGAACGCCTACGTCGGGTTGGTGGTCTACTTGGAGGACGACGTACGAGTGGTGGCAAAATAGGAGTACATATAATTAAGCTCGGAACAACCCAATCCACTTCCCTCGGAACAGGATATATAGTTTCGTTGTAGGCACCCCTCCAGTATTTCGATGTGTAATAAGGGGAGCAAAGCTCGTACATAGACTTTCCTCTAAAGCAAGCAGCACGACTTGCATGAACACATGGCATATGGTTTAGTTGGAACTCACAACATGTGCAAGTATCTTCGGACAAGTCAACTATGTCTGTGTCATTGGATATTCAAACATGCGTTAAGTTGTTCGTTAGGACATGGGCTCGAAGCCTAGTTCCATTTTCGAACGTCGTCCGTAACTCATTCTCCATCTTCGGCGTCAATAAGGTACTGCATTCTTCCGCATTTGTTCGACATTCGTAAAACTACTTCTGCATAGTACTCTGAATGTGTTCAACCAAGCAGATTATTGGTAACGAACGGGCTTCTCTCAACATCGAGTTCAAGGACTCTACGTTGTTGTTTGTCATAATGTTGTAACGGTGTCCAATAAATAGTGCTCTGGACCAAAATGAATAACCCACTTGCTCTAAGTACCCGTGCGCTCTTTCGCTCACTCTACGAATTTGTCCCATGAGTCGTTCGAAGTCCTCGACCCGAAAAGTTGTAGCAGCTCGTTTGAATAGAAATATTAGGCTTGCGTTGTTGTACCATTGTATTAGATTCTTTTCCATATGCCATATACAACAACCATGGTGAGACAACGGAAACAACGAAGTAATAGCTTTCTTAATACTCTTTTTTCCTGTTCGAAACAAATACAACTTCTTCGGAGTCCCCTATAAGGTCTTTCAAGTTTGACATAAATCACTTCCAGGATTTATTGGTTTTAGCATCCACGATCCCCCATGCCAACAGACAAATCTGTTTGTTACCATCTTGGGCAGTTGCTATTAGGAGTGTACCTTTGTATGGACCCTTCAAGTGATTGCCATCAACACGAATAACGGGTCTCAAGTACTGCATGTAACCATGAATGCTTGCACCAAAAGCTACGAAAAAGTAATGAAACCTATGAAGAGAATCAACTTTGATGTGGGTTACGGTCCCTGGGTTACTCTCTTCTACGACGTGACAGTACGAAGATAATTTTTTGAAAACTGTCCCCTGGTATTCCATGTAGCATATTTAAGGCATGGAGCTTCCCCCTACGTGCTTTGCTATAACTGATTTTCACACCAAACTCACGTTCCATATCATGTGCAATATCAATAGGATGATACGATCGGTATGGAGTATCCAATTTTCCCAAAATGTGCTCCGCAATTACAGAACTAGTGGCATGCCGATGTGCGTTATAACGAAAATCAAGGGAACATGTGTGAACTGTAATGAATTTACGGATCATGAAGATTACAGATTGCTTGACAATAGAAACACGTAGCATCCACTTGCAATTATCATCCACACAGACAACTGTTAACATTTTCAAGCTTGACCTACTTACTCGAAATTGGAACTTCTCTTGCAAAGCAAGTACACGAAACTTCGAGTACAACTGTTTCTTACTAAAGAATATTTGCTTCTCGACGAGAAAGGATGTATTTGCAGCTGTAATCCACTCATCTGTACACGAAGTTCTAGAATTTGATGACATTGTCTTGTCAATTTCAGCAATAATAGCACCATCTGGACCATGTAATGGGTTGTCTGAGTGCTCATCGGATGCTGCAGCCTCTATACGGTCAATTGGAGGTTCGGGTGCTTGGGTGTGCGACACACTGTGCTGATGATTGATCTCGTCATGTTGTACGTTTTGCGAACATTCCGTTGGGTCAAAAAAGTTCCCTGCACAGTTGCATCCGTTGCCATATCAACACTCGAAAACTCAGTTTCCAAAATAGTGACGCAGAGTGCAGTTTCCTTATGAACAGATATGTACCATTGTAGGTCCTCATCGTCGTGTATCTCTGTCGGAGGTATATTCAAGTTCGGGACTTTGAACTTCAATTCGATTTCAACGATACCAAGTTTGTCCTTCAACCGTAACATAAGTTCTGCTACGGTAATACTTCTCGACGCTAAAATGGAAGTGGTTTTGTCCCCTCTTCATTTCCATTCATCATCCAAGTGAACGAAGTTTCCTCCATGCGACACGATGAATCTCAAATCATGAGTCATACTTGAAATGTTGGGACTGCAAAAGTGAGAATTCTGCACATTCATATGTCGACATTTCATAACATCAAATTGGCGCATGAGAATACTTAAATCCATGTACTACCAAAGATATAAAAGGTTAACAATTTTCAGGTGTCGAAATCGACAATTAAATTTTCTATCCTGACAGTCACTAAATGTCGAGTTAGACAGTTAAAATGTCTAATCCGACAGTTTCAAAGATACTGCTCGACAGTTCAACTAACATAACTTTCGGGGAAGATAAATATCATGTGTTTCACTGTTTAAAGATTTTATTGAAAACATTAAAGGCAATAATCAATTATTAACTACAACATCATTGTATCTTTCTACAAATGAAGAAGGTATCATTCGATGCTTCATTAAATGTGGAATTAAATATGGAATCCTTCACATTTTCTAAAGAATATTGGTATTATTTTTCTTTCTAAAATATACCAAAAATAAAACACATCAATGAATAAGAGATTGAAAAGGGTCATTTAAATATGATTATGTTGTATTAAACATTTAAAGTAGTCAAGTATGACATGAGAATAATTTTTTTTTACTAGCTCACCTTTGAAATTGATCAATGACTTTCCTTGTTTCCTTGTTGATGATGGAGTGGAGATGATGAAGAAGAAGAAGAAGAAGCTCTTTCAATTCGTATGTGTGTGTGTATTTTGTAAAGATTTTACCCCTTTTTTAATCAAAAAAATCATATTATACAATATAATATTGATATCTTCAATGTTAAAATTAAAGAAAAAATTTAATCACATCATACCATTAATTGCATTCAAATCAAGCATTTATTGCTCCAAAAAGGTGTTCAAGGGTAAAGTGGACATTTTATAGGGAAAAATTGACATTTTTGGAAGAATCGGTGAAAGTCAATTTTTTATTTTTTATTTTTTGCATTTTCAATTTTAGTGACATTTATGTAAATTCCCCATTAAATTAAAGGCCAAAAAAGGGGCTGAATGTTTACTATTATTTTTTAAGAATCAAATTTTACCTCAAAATTTAAGAAGCTTAGTCCAGTTTATACTTTCTATTATTGATTCCATAATTTTCTTTACTATTTTAAGAATACATTGAGCCCTCGTTAGGTAGAAATTAAAAATTCAAATTTTAATTTAAATCAAATTTTGCAACAAATTTTAACCACATATTTTATAGAATTCATAAATTTTTAACCACACATTTCATCAATTTTTATCAAAATTTACTAAAAATATAATTTTATTCTCTACCAAATTGGGGCTTGGACTTAATGTTTACGTTACCATTTTATTTGAACCAAGCCTCAAAACACCACAATTTTTAGACTAACTAGCAAGGTTTTTGTTTGTATGATGTGTCGACTCTCAAACACATTGAAATTAGTTACAATTTTTAGCTCATGTCTGTTCCTAATTTTTTTCAAATTTATTTTTTGTCAAATTCATTTAGTCCCCGTTGGGTAGAAATTAAAATTCAAATCTCAATCAAGTTCAACATTAATCATACATTTTATAGAGTTCACAATTTTTCAACCACATATCTCATTAATTTTTATCAAAATTTACTGAAATTTTGATTTTAATCTCTATCGAACATAGGCTTGGACTCAATGTTTATGTTACCCAGTCACCAGTTTATTTGAACCAAGCCTCAAAACGCCACATATTTTAGACTAACTGGCAAGGGTTTTGTTTGTGTACCATGTTGACTCACAAACACATTGAAATTAGTTACGATTTTTAGTTCAAGTTTGCCCCCAATTTTTTTTTTCAAATTTATTATTTCTTAAATTCATTTTCAAACACAAATTTAATGGAATCCACAATTTTTCAACTATATACTTCATCAATTTTTATCAAAATCTATTAAAAATCTGATTTTTAACTAAACCATATTTCTTGATGAATCATAAGTGTAACCTTCTCGAATACATTTGTTATCACAGTTCATATATCATCTTTTCCTTCACCTCTACGGCTCTACCCCTGTTTTCTATTTTGTCCCTTTCATTATCCTCCAATGTTTTCATACCTCGAAATTTTTTGCCGTGCAAGCTTGGATATCCAAAACCCTGATTTGCATGGTCTGTTTCATTTTTATTTTTTCTTCTCAAAGGATCGATTAGAAATGAAATAATTGAGTCCTATAACCCACCTAGCCGACGATAAACACTAATCGAGCTGGTCCAAAACCTGACCAACCCGACCTTTTCTTCTCCAACATGAGGCCCATAATTTTCCCAAGATGATAACACATCAACACCGAAGACTATGAAGAAAACCTACGAGCCTGAAGATAGAAGAAATAGCATCGAAATCGTCAAGGCTGCAGCACAGGCATGGCACTGTCATTCCAGCGGCTCCAAAACAATCACCTCGGAATTCGATACCCATCGGAAAAGGGTCAAAAGCAAACCAACCCGGTTCAAGCTCGAAGCAATGAGCGTAGCCTCAAGAAAAGAGAGTAATTGGGATTTTGGGCAGTCTCTATGGGATTCTTATGAGATTGTGTCTGTTTCGAAAAAGTTGGAGATTGGCTTAATGCTGAGTAATCCATTCGCTGCATTGGATGAGCCAATATGTGGTGGTAAGAGGCAAAAAGAGAGTAAGAATAGCTTGAGGAACATAATAAATAATATGTCCTCTAGGAGATTCAGCGAAGCTGAAATACTATCAGAAGAAGAATAGTGTCAAGTTTAGCAATCTTGAGGATTAAACCAACCACACTTTTAATTTACCCCATTTATTCATAATTAGAGCATCTTTGATTGTGCTTAAAGTTACACTTTTGGAAAATAAGTTTAATGATTTATTAAAAAAGCAATTTTAAGAATCATGTTTTGGCTGAAACCAAACCTAAAGGGTCTTTAAATCAATTTTTCAGTGTTGTTCCATCTGAAATAAATGGTGTCGGGTTGAAATAAAGGAAAGGTGACAATGACTTTTATCCGTTTGTACATAAATTTGTAAATGGTCTATTAAATTCAATCATAATTTAACATTAATTTTAACAAAACGTTCGTAATTATTACTCATTATTATCTACACATATTGTGGAACCCATTAATGTTCCTCTTTATAAATCATTTATAAATTTGTCAAACGGGAAGCTTAAATCATCTATAATTGAGTTATAAATGGTTTTCAAAATGGATTTGATGCTGCTGTTATCCATAGGAAAAGATTGATTCCCATTACTGTAAAGTTGTAGTTAAGTCCAAAATTTGTCAATATCATTTAAAGGAATCCAATGCCTCACAACTGGATATCATTTAGAGGAATCCAATGCCTCACAACTGGAGATTCTTTGTCTCGGATAATCTCAAGCAGGAGATTCTTCTTACATCATAGATACATGCTAAAAAAATTTCAGATTTGCAATGCTGGGATGGGTGAAGGTGAGGGTGTTACAGCAAACTATGAAGAGTGTTGTAGATTAAGGCTGAATTCTAATTTTGAGAGTGGCAATAAATAGAACGAATGAAATCGAAGCATGCAAAACAAATAAATTTATAGGGGTTCACTTTCAATAATTACAGTCTCGTTTTGTTTTTTTTTGTTTTTTGGTTTTTTGGTTTTTTAATTTTGGTTGTTAGTATTGCAATTTTAGCAATTCGAAGAGCAAAAAACCATATAATTCTTGAGTATTTTTGTTTCCTTTAGATAGGCACTTAACCGGCATATAGTTTGCCTTCTTAATAAAAACAAGATATTAGTACATTGTACGAAACATGAATAGAATCACGAGTTAGCCTAGCCAATACAAAATATAATGACAGACATGTTATTTATATCGAGTACAAGGCTCGAAGCATAACAATAACATTATTTAGATGTAATCATGCCTGCCCATATGATTCAATCTTAATACACCTTGGAGGAACCCCGCTTGTACTTATCAAAGTTCTTGTGCTTCTGCTGGATATAATCATCAGCTTCCATATCAATCCTTGTTTCTTCAATAACTTCGTGCTTTCCATCACGATCAATTTCTGTGATCTTTTCGACAAAGTGAACTTTCTTGTGCACCTCCGGGACGTGAGATTCATGATGCTTCCCTGGTACTGGCACGAGATGTTCGTGGTGCATCACCGGATAGGGCACTTTATGTTGGTGCATCACCGGATAGGGCACGTGATGTTCCTGATGATTCACCGGGGAATAATGTCTACCTTCGCGTTCAGAATACCTCTCCATTGTTATGCTTTGATTTCAGCACTTTAGTACTGAAGGACATGAAATAAAATTGCTCATTTATAGACGATACTATATATTCTCTTCAAGATTATTCTGTGGTCTCATAAGAATCTCATTCTTATTTCTTCTTGGAATAAATGGTGTGGGACAAGGAATAAGTCAAAAGAAAAATGTTTATGATTCCAAGCAAGTAGCAGGGATCAAGAGCTATCAAACTTTTACACTACCAGAAAATTATAATTTGGAATAGTACTATCTAGCACTTGATAAATTCAATTAAATGAATCGTGTGACGTTACATTGAAGTGAATCTATCATTTGATGTCATACAATTGCAACGTGCTAGACACCAATGGTGCTGTCAGCATTACTCATAATTTATTGACGAAAAAGATTCTTGGTGAAGTTCAGACTTCGAAAAAATAATTTATCCAATATATACCCCTGCTGCTTGTGCGCAGGCACGTGTGTACTCATGGAGAAGCACAAGAAATATAAACAACCATTCAACAAGTTCACCCCAGTGCTATCAACATAAGCAACATATTTTGATAATAAGCCAACAGATAAGGAACCAAAAGGTAGCAGATAATATAGGAAACATGCTCCAGTAACAAGCCAACAGACCAGGAACCAAAAGTCAACATATATCTGACACATGCAAACATACCAGGTGGTATGAGCCAAAAGGTTCTATGTAACACATGGAACACACTAGGTAACAAGCTTATAAACTAAAAACCAAAAGGTACCATAATTAGTTCACATGATTCTTGAATTTATTTATAGCCACGACTTAATACTTCATTATTCTTCTTTAGGAACTTCTTGTTCATTTCTGCATCACCAAACCCTGCATCAGCAACCCATAGAAACAAAAAACAGTAAGAATAACAGTCCAAATTGAATAGGAGGGGAAAGGAAAAGATATAAATAACCAGAGAAGATTTACAATATATTCATCTTTATCCATGTATAGGATGTCCAGTATAGACGATTATATGGTACTGAACAGATTTAATAAGGGGAAAAATTTTGAAAAAAGCTAAAATCTTGTACATTGTACTATTCAGACCTTTCCAATACGAAGCACCAAACATGTGAAATATGTTTTAAGAGAAACTCACCATCTCATGGATAGAGGACAGAATCTAAATCAGCAATACGGCAAAGATGATCCACTGTTTGCTCCAAGTTGTACTCATTAATCTTCAAGATCTCCTTGTTCAAATCAACCTGTATGAAGCCCATTTCTGCAAGTTCCTTCAGAAGTTTCTCCTCTACCTCGTACTTTTCAGAAACCTCTTGAACAGATGCCTGCACAGTTCCAATCGATGGTGGCGCAACAGAAAGCAGAGCTTGGGATGGAGAAGGCAAAGCCGGAACCACCTCCGAGAGATCAACGATAGGATATGAAAAAGTTGAAGAAGGTACTGTAGAAATAGAGCTTGACTCACCATCACCAACAAACAAGATATCATTGATGGGGAATTTCGCATCCTGCTCCTCGTTTGGCTGTGCATCAACTAATAGTTCCACTGATTCCACAGGTTTATTGGAGTTGGTAGGCACAAATTGTCTTCCATGCACCATGGTTCCTGGACCCACATTTATAATTTCAGGGTCACTTAACGGGTAGCTTAGTGGAGGTAAGTTTAAGTTCAGTCCATGAACGCTCTCATGTGACATTGCCTCCTTGGAAGCAACAACCTGAATGAATACATAAAAAAGTGACAGAAACTTATCCAATTAGAATGGAAAATTATTAAGGAAACTGAATCATGAAAAGTGCAAAACTGTGCCAACCTGGATGTGAACCCAAATATGCGCCCCAAACTGTACGCCAGAAGGCGAGGCCATCTGCCAGTGGGAGATATACCTACCTGGAAGCTCAGGAGCCACAAAATCAACTGCGACATCAATCTCCTGGCCAACAGGCAAACCACCCGAAGGAATCTAGCGATGGAAAAAAAATCACGAGGATTAATCTTTTCTTTTGATGATAATTATTATAAAAATCTACTAATACTAATAGAAGATACATGCAAAGACAAGGTGTCATCCTTCACTGCAGACAAAAAGAAATAAGAATTAGTAGTATCAAAAAGTAGAAACGGAAAATGAAGCATAACCAAACAAGTTGCTACCATTTAGAAGAAAAAGACGTAGAAGAAAATATGAGAAACGCCAAAAAAAACCAAATGCTATACACGTGTAAAATTATACAAGAATCTGACCATATAAAAGAGATGATTATACACAAACTGGTATTAGAAACCATGCACAAAAAAAAAAATGGTGATAACCAACCTCTACTTCAACCGGAAATGCATTACTTAATCTGTCTCCCCCAGTCCAAACAAGTTGTGTTTTTTGGGGCCACGCCGATGCACCAATGTTCCCCATCCGCCAAATCTTGGTAAATGGAGTCAAAGGGGCCATCACAGTTTCATCGAAAATATTCACATCCTGAATGAAGCGACTGTCTAGCTTTGCTATACCCATTCTATCATTGCAACCACTGAAGATCACCCGGTCCTTAGCATGCTGTGTTAAGAGTAGACAGGAGCAATAAAATTTAACAAATAAAAGATATGATAAATGCTTAATAAAGAAACAAACAGGACAATGAATTTTACATACATGGCCATACAATTCCTTGATAGACGTGGGGTACTGATGATCCCCCTCATGAGCAATTCTAATATAATCAGAAACATTTCCCATTTTAAGAAAACAGATTTGGCACAGATCATAGTTATATTTTCTGCAATAAAAGACTGATCAGTTTAACATATAAAGATTCTGTAGATATTCATCAGAAAGTTAGTAAGGTCACTGTCTTAGTTCTTACACTTTTGACTTGAACCTAGGTCCAGTTATGGGATGGGACCCACAACCATCGCAAGAAACACCCAAATGTACAATACTCCCAGAGGCATCATTCTGAATAATGCTCATTAATGGTGGGATGCTGGAATATGGGGGGGCAGCTGAATCATTTCGTAGAGGCATTCCAAAAAGTGGAGACTTGTTAAGAGAACCACGACCAAACTGTGAGACTGGAGAGTTCTCAGAACCACTCTCTACTAAATAATTTATCCCACCAACTGGATGGCCCCATTTCGTAGGATCAGCATTACCAGTGGAAGAACCCACATTAGAAGGCTTTGGTCCAACCTGAGGCTCACTAGGCTTATCAACCCCCTTTTGAATAGGAACATCATTTGCAACAAGTGGCGGACTAGATGATGCCAAAGGAGCCTCTTCGTAACATTGAATAATCTTCTTCAACTTTTTCTTCTTATCAACAGTAGCAGCCACAACCCTTGGTTTAGGATCCAGGTGTGATGATTCGTGCAGAGATTCATTGTTGGGGTATCCAACATCAAAATTCAGAGAGCCAATTGCTGCATCTACAGCTTTGAGGCCAGGTACTTCCAAAGGTAAGGGGTCTGTGCTACTTGCAATTGTATTTCCCGGTTTCAGCTCATTGTTTCCCAAGGCTCCCCCAGGTTTAAATTTTGGCAAGCCCTCATTGATTCTCAAAGAACACTCTTCAGGCTTGGAGGAATTCAAATCTTTGGTTTCTCTTGCGGCTGAGGAGCTTTCAGGAACCTCGCTTGGTGTACAAGACTGCACTTCAGATTTGGACTCTGAAAGCTGATCTAGGTAGGACAAACCTATCTTTGAGAAGTATACAGCAAGCTCGGCAATACCTGGTGCAGAGGAGGAGGTTTTAGATGACAACTCAGTTGAAAGCTTCAAGAGAGTTTCACATAGAGGCTCTGGCACAGATTTCAAAATTTCAGAGACGTTTGCGTTCAGCTTTCGGAAGGGTTGCTGAACTCTAGGCAATCTCAAGGGAGTTGAACTCCCACTTGAACGAGCATATTCTCTGCCATTCTGCTCAGTGTTCACCTTCACAGTAATCCTTAAGGGGTTCAGGGCCTGCCTTACCACATCATGCAGATCATCATCATTAACAATCGTCACCACATCACCATCTTCATCAATATAGGTAAGTGTGAACTCAGTATCAGGAACAAAATTGAATAATGAACAGATCTTCTCTCTCAGTCCATCAAAATTAAGATACAGTTCCTTGTCAACAATTTGGGCATTGAACCGCCTGAGCATGTCCCCGTACTTTGCCTGTAGAAATGTTGCCACAACAACATTAGGGAGAAAAAAAACTCAGATGACATAGGGACTGAGTGGGGAAAGATAGTATAATGAATAACAGATGTAGAAAAATAACTAACAAATGCTAAAAAGTAGATCGGCCCTATACAAACATCTATACTAGATATAGCTTGCAGACCCATGTATTTACAAGCTTCATACTAGCAGGCCTATTGCTATAATTATTTCTCATCCAGATTTAAATGCATATCACTTGAGCACATAATTTTGACCTCGGTCAAAGTTGCTAGCAGAGACACATATTCAAAATGAGCAATAACAAAATGAAACCTCTCTCTGTGTGTTTTATAAACATACCCATACAAGACATTCTTCTAAGTATATTTGTCTAAGATCATCAAGAAAGAATTAGAACTTAGGATCATGATAGTTAGAACAAACATGGGGAGTTAAAAGTAAAATAATTGAAAAGGCCTAATAAGGGAGGTTAGGTTCATTGAAGATGCTCTTTGAGATTGGGCAAATGAATAAAAATCATAAAAAAAATCCAGAAAGTTAATCTAAGGCAAATATTAGAAGCAATAATTTAGAAAGCATGTATCATAAAAAGGAAAAGAAAAGCTGTGAGAGATTTCATGACACAAAATGAATACATAGTTGCAAAATTCAAATTCTAAAATTGTAACTAACAAAGGAAAGAATAAAACAGAGAAGTCTCAGCATCTAGCAATTTTCTACTGTATGCCACAGAATAACTTAAGGGTTTTAGAGACAAATCAAAAGCCCAAGAGATATCCAAAATCAATTGCAGAATTTTCACTAGAAACACCCGGGGGGTGGGGGGTACACATTAAGCCCTTGCATCCAAAAAAAAAAAATGGTGATAACCAACCTCTACTTCAACCGGAAATGCATTACTTAATCTGTCTCCCCCAGTCCAAACAAGTTGTGTTTTTTGGGGCCACGCCGATGCACCAATGTTCCCCATCCGCCAAATCTTGGTAAATGGAGTCAAAGGGGCCATCACAGTTTCATCGAAAATATTCACATCCTGAATGAAGCGACTGTCTAGCTTTGCTATACCCATTCTATCATTGCAACCACTGAAGATCACCCGGTCCTTAGCATGCTGTGTTAAGAGTAGACAGGAGCAATAAAATTTAACAAATAAAAGATATGATAAATGCTTAATAAAGAAACAAACAGGACAATGAATTTTACATACATGGCCATACAATTCCTTGATAGACGTGGGGTACTGATGATCCCCCTCATGAGCAATTCTAATATAATCAGAAACATTTCCCATTTTAAGAAAACAGATTTGGCACAGATCATAGTTATATTTTCTGCAATAAAAGACTGATCAGTTTAACATATAAAGATTCTGTAGATATTCATCAGAAAGTTAGTAAGGTCACTGTCTTAGTTCTTACACTTTTGACTTGAACCTAGGTCCAGTTATGGGATGGGACCCACAACCATCGCAAGAAACACCCAAATGTACAATACTCCCAGAGGCATCATTCTGAATAATGCTCATTAATGGTGGGATGCTGGAATATGGGGGGGCAGCTGAATCATTTCGTAGAGGCATTCCAAAAAGTGGAGACTTGTTAAGAGAACCACGACCAAACTGTGAGACTGGAGAGTTCTCAGAACCACTCTCTACTAAATAATTTATCCCACCAACTGGATGGCCCCATTTCGTAGGATCAGCATTACCAGTGGAAGAACCCACATTAGAAGGCTTTGGTCCAACCTGAGGCTCACTAGGCTTATCAACCCCCTTTTGAATAGGAACATCATTTGCAACAAGTGGCGGACTAGATGATGCCAAAGGAGCCTCTTCGTAACATTGAATAATCTTCTTCAACTTTTTCTTCTTATCAACAGTAGCAGCCACAACCCTTGGTTTAGGATCCAGGTGTGATGATTCGTGCAGAGATTCATTGTTGGGGTATCCAACATCAAAATTCAGAGAGCCAATTGCTGCATCTACAGCTTTGAGGCCAGGTACTTCCAAAGGTAAGGGGTCTGTGCTACTTGCAATTGTATTTCCCGGTTTCAGCTCATTGTTTCCCAAGGCTCCCCCAGGTTTAAATTTTGGCAAGCCCTCATTGATTCTCAAAGAACACTCTTCAGGCTTGGAGGAATTCAAATCTTTGGTTTCTCTTGCGGCTGAGGAGCTTTCAGGAACCTCGCTTGGTGTACAAGACTGCACTTCAGATTTGGACTCTGAAAGCTGATCTAGGTAGGACAAACCTATCTTTGAGAAGTATACAGCAAGTTCGGCAATACCTGGTGCAGAGGAGGAGGTTTTAGATGACAACTCAGTTGAAAGCTTCAAGAGAGTTTCACATAGAGGCTCTGGCACAGATTTCAAAATTTCAGAGACGTTTGCGTTCAGCTTTCGGAAGGGTTGCTGAACTCTAGGCAATCTCAAGGGAATTGAACTCCCACTTGAACGAGCATATTCTCTGCCATTCTGCTCAGTCACCTTCACAGTAATCCTTAAGGGGTTCAGGGCCTGCCTTACCACATCATGCAGATCATCATCATTAACAATCGTCACCACATCACCATCTTCATCAATATAGGTAAGTGTGAACTCAGTATCAGGAACAAAATTGAATAATGAACAGATCTTCTCTCTCAGTCCATCAAAATTAAGATACAGTTCCTTGTCAACAATTTGGGCATTGAACCGCCTGAGCATGTCCCCGTACTTTGCCTGTAGAAATGTTGCCACAACAACATTAGGGAGAAAAAAAACTCAGATGACATAGGGACTGAGTGGGGAAAGATAGTATAATGAATAACAGATGTAGAAAAATAACTAACAAATGCTAAAAAGTAGATCGGCCCTATACAAACATCTATACTAGATATAGCTTGCAGACCCATGTATTTACAAGCTTCATACTAGCAGGCCTATTGCTATAATTATTTCTCATCCAGATTTAAATGCATATCACTTGAGCACATAATTTTGACCTCGGTCAAAGTTGCTAGCAGAGACACATATTCAAAATGAGCAATAACAAAATGAAACCTCTCTCTGTGTGTTTTATAAACATACCCATACAAGACATTCTTCTAAGTATATTTGTCTAAGATCATCAAGAAAGAATTAGAACTTAGGATCATGATAGTTAGAACAAACATGGGGAGTTAAAAGTAAAATAATTGAAAAGGCCTAATAAGGGAGGTTAGGTTCATTGAAGATGCTCTTTGAGATTGGGCAAATGAATAAAAATCATAAAAAAAATCCAGAAAGTTAATCTAAGGCAAATATTAGAAGCAATAATTTAGAAAGCATGTATCATAAAAAGGAAAAGAAAAGCTGTGAGAGATTTCATGACACAAAATGAATACATAGTTGCAAAATTCAAATTCTAAAATTGTAACTAACAAAGGAAAGAATAAAACAGAGAAGTCTCAGCATCTAGCAATTTTCTACTGTATGCCACAGAATAACTTAAGGGTTTTAGAGACAAATCAAAAGCCCAAGAGATATCCAAAATCAATTGCAGAATTTTCACTAGAAACACCCGGGGGGTGGGGGGTACACATTAAGCCCTTGCATCCAGAACTGAAACACATATGCGATCGATAAGCTCATCCAAACAGAGCATAACAAAATATAAAACACTCACCGTGACACCAGAGACATTAAAAATCCATAGTACAATCAAAACATGCAAAGCCATTAAACCAATAAAACAGCTAACAGAAAAGATTAAAAAAAAGAAAATGAAAAGAACTGACCTTGATCACAATCGTAGAAGTCTCCATAGCTTGAAAGCAAAATCCACGCTCCAAATCGCGTTCGGGAAACAAAATTCTTCAGTAGTAGTTCTACGTTTAGATTTAACTTTTCTGTAGATTAAAGAGAAGGAAAACCCTGCTCCAATAAAAGGGAAACCATCGGTGAATAGAACAGAAAATGAATGAATTTTAACAGAGGATTTAGATAAATCTATATTTCAATCGGGATAAACGCAATACAGTAATAAAGGAGTTTGGTTGGAACAGGGAGTCTTCATATAATTGGGAACTCTCCTTTCTTTCCTTCTCCCCAAAGAAAGGAGAAAATTTCATAGTTGATCCCAAAACTATTGACTTAAGTGCACAGGTAGTTCTCTTCATCATAGTTGAAATCATAGTTATTAGACTCGACCCAATAGTCGACCCGGGAAAGTCATCGGGTCACCGGGTCAGTGGTTGAACCGGTAGATCATTGTTAGATCATAATTTTAATTAAAATATATTTTTGAAAAAAAAATTGCTAAATCTAGATATATATGTTTGGCTTGCTTGTCACATGGAGTTTCACCAGCTTCCCAGATGGTGAAGGACGAAAATTTTCATGTAGGAACCCATTTTGATGTGCCTAAAGCTGTGTGGACATAAAAGGCTTTTGTTTACTCTTATTTGAAAACTTTTGGTTGTGCTGCATATGCTCATCAAAATATAGGGAAAATTGACCCTAGATCATTTAAATGCGTGTTTTTTGGCTATGCTGAAAATGTAAAGGGGTATAGGCTGTGGGTTTATAGGGAAAAGGGTTACAGAGTTATTATCAAGAGAAATGTGGTCTTTAATGAATTTTGTATGCCATGCTTAGAAGGAAAGAAATGGAATTTACCTTAAAATAATGTCCAAATTGAGGTGGAGCCTGTTAAGTTGGACAATACCAGTTCTGTCCCCTTAGAAGCTGCAAGTACTAAAGTTGGCTTGAATGAAACTGATACTGAATTGTCAGAATATGAACAACATAATAACATAGTTTCACAACCTAAAGAATACCAGCTTTCTAGAGACAGTGAGAGAAGACAAATCAGACCCCCTGATAAGTTTACTAGTGATGATTTTATGTCATTATTCACATATCAGGAAGAAACTGAATTTGAACCATGTTCTTATCATGAAGTTTTAAAATTTAAGGACTCCAAATAGAAGTTAGTTGCTATGGAAGAAGAAATGACTTTCTTATACAAAAATAAAACATGAAAATTAGTTGATAAACCAAAGGATCAGAAACTAGTTGATTGTAAATGGATTTATAAACTAAGGGGAGGGGAATGAGGCAATAATAAAGTTAGATATAAAACTAGACTTGTTACCAAAAGTTTCACACAACAAGAATGTGCGGATTATGATGAGATTTTTCCCCTGTAGTGAAATATACAACTATGAAATGTATTCTTGCTTTGGTTGTGCAATTTAAGTGGAAACTTGATCAACTAGATGTAAAAACTACTTTCCTTTATAATGAATTGGATAAAATGATTTACATGAAACAACCTTTAGATTTTGTTAAAGGTGATCCTAACAAAGTTATGTATTTGTTGAAAAATATTTATATGGCTTAAAGCAAGCCCCAAGACAATTTAATTCATTTATCTTGAAGCTTGGCTTTAACAGATGCAATTATGATACATGTCTCTACTATATATATATATATATATATAAAAGTAAAGATGCTTTATATTTGGTACTTTATATTGATGACATCTTCTTGATAATGCCAATAAGTTTGAAATTGATGATATCAAACACAAATTAAAATTAGAGTTTGACATGATGGATCTTGGTCTTGCCAAGAAAATTCTTGGTATGCATATTATTAGAAATGAAGAAACCGATTCCCTATTTTTAAGTCAACAAGAATATGTGAACAAGATTCTAAAAAAGTTTATCATGTTTAATTGTAAACGTGTCTCTTTACCCCTTGCTAATCATTTTAAACTTACCTCTGATTCATGTCCTAAAACTGAAGATGAACTTGAAAGAATATCTAAAATTCCCTATGCTAATGCTATTGGATTTGTTATATATTTGATGGTTTACACCAGATCTGATTTAGCTTATAGCATTAGTGTCCTAAGTAGATGCATGGAAAATCTCGAGAAAAGTCATTGGGAAGCATTGAAATGGTTAATGAAATATTTAAAAGATTCATCTAACTTAGGTTTAATGTTCAGAATGAGTAAAGAGGGGTGATTTTAAAGGGTTACACGGACTCTGATTTTGCTGGAGATAGAGATAATAGGAGATCAACATTATCTTATTTTTATACTTTGTGTGGTACTGTAATAAGCTGAAAATCTCAGTTGTAAGAAAATGTTGCTCTATTCTCCACTGAGGCAGAATACATTGCAACTGCTGATACCATCAAAGAAGACATCTGGCTGAATAGGCTATTAAATAAACTTGGTTTTGCGGACACTAATCCAACCTTATATTCTGGTAATCAGAGTGCAATGCATTCGAGTAAGAATCTCATGTTTCATGATAGAACTAAACATATTGATGTCAAATACCTTTTTATACGTGATATTATCTCAAAGGGATTGATTAAAATTGGTAAAATTTGCTACTCTATATAATCTATCTGATATGGGAACAAAAGTGGCACCTTTAAATAAGTTCCAAAGCTATTTAAAGATATTATCTATTGATACTTTTCATTGATCATACAGGTACATATAGCAAATGAAATTATAAATAGCTGGTAAAGCTCCTGGCTGCACTATTGTCAAGAATTTTGGAAGTATTGTGGAGATTGTTGAGTTTCAAACCGTTGACCTCATTACTTATAAAAGGGTGCTTCCAAAATCTGAAGAAAGCGTGTTTCTGATTTTACACTTTTGTTAGTGGAAGCCTTTAACTGGATTGTTTAGCGTGGCACTATAATGACCATTTGATTAAGTTCTAGATGCTTCTGGCTTTATATTCATTGATCGGCAGATTTGTGAGAAAATTTATGGGTTGCTTTCGTTTCTTCATCTACTTCTTCTCTGCAAGAATCTTTCATTCTTCATAATTAGGGTTTGAGTTTTTTGAGTGTTCCAGTGATTAAATCTTAGTGAGGAACCTATAATACTCCAGATCTACATACTACTGTATTGTCTTGTGTGTTTGTGTACAAGAATCTAAATGTTTCGTGTAAGCAATAGGGTTTCGAGGAAGATCTGAGTGATCCTCTTCAGGTTATTGGCAGAGTGATCTGATTCTTGGTTCTTTCAGAAAAGAAAGTCTTTGTGGCTTGATCTTTGTAATTTTCAAGAACATATTGTATATTCTTGTTGCCGATTTTTGGCTTTATAGTGCAACCGAGCTAAATCCATTTATAATGGATGTTTAATAGGGGATTATGCGTTAGATGTTGTCGTCGAACTTCTAGGGCTACGGTCGAAAAATCCTTGTGTTGATTTTTTATTTTCTACACTTTACTGTTTGGTTAATTTTTGAGTATTTCTCGACCTTTCAGTAAAGATGCAACGAGGTTAGGTGGCCCTTCCCGTCACCCGCTCGTCGATAACATTTGGGAAGCATGATGCTAATACATTAATGAATTAGTATGGAGGGTAATAGAGTTGGGACATTCCTTAGTTCTGTTGAAAATTTCAAGAGATGGGGTAGGTATTAAAGTGTTTTCATTTATTGCACTATTTGGTTATATATATAAACAATGGGCGCACTATATTTTGTCGTCCCTTGGAAAGTAGCTACCAAATCATCTTTTCCTAAATAAAAATTGGATGAGAACCGAATTTATCGAGTGGAAAGTTCACATGGTACTTATATAGTAAGTCGTAAGTTCGATAAAATGTGTAGATACTAACTCAGTAGAAGTTATGGATCCTACGAATTGTGTTGATGAAGATTGAGTTTTTCTAATCTAAATTATAAATTATAATTTACCAAACATGCACTAAATTAAATTTTAAGTAACTATAAACGATAGGTCATGTGTGTAGACTTTCCACCATAATTTGAGTTTTTACTACCAAAAAAAGGTGAATGAGAATCCACGCACTTGAACCTCAGTTTAACTTGGTCTCAATGTTAGCACGTCTACCTTTTCATTTATTTTCTATTTGAACCATCTTAATTAAGATTTATTGTAACATTTGTCTAGTTGTATAAACAGGACCGACTCAGCACAATCATCTACAAATTCGACCCAACGTGTACATAAAACATCAAGTCTAGTACCTGAGCCTGATTACTTGCCTAAAAATGTATGCTTATTAACCAATGTAGGGGCTAATTATAACAAGAAATTAAAAATTCAGAAAAAATGACCAATTTCACCCTTAAAGAGGTAGTATTATCATACTATATAAATCGAGCAATTTCTTGTACAAATAAAAAACTTGTACTTATATATGATACATTTTCGTGTAAAAACTCAAAAACAATGCGATGATTTATTTATTTTTTTCATTAACACTGTTCAACGTTATCATTGCATTTTACCAAACACTTCAAAAGTATACAACAAAGGAAAAAAAAAAAAAAAAACTTGAGATACGAGAAGATTAAAGACCAGACAAGATTCACAAGAAGGAATATTTCATCCAAAATTATCTGTTCTTAACCAATTGCCATTGCCATGAGGCTGAAAACTGTGGCAAAAGCAACAGCAACAAGGCTTCTCTCTTTAAGAACTACTTGGGCCAAGTACATGGCAACATCTGATGTGATCCTCCTTCCCTCCTTAACAAGAACTCGCCGTCGTTTCCCAGCAAAAGCTAGGAGCACCAGCACTGTAATCCATGTCAGAATGGTGGTACGGACTGCGAAAACGATCAATCCTGCAAGAAGGAAGACAGCAATAAGTGGTAAGATCGTCATGTAATACCCGGAAGAATAGATTGTTGTGTCGACCCATGACACAAAGATGTAGAGTGAAATCGAGAAAATCAATAGGCTTGTTGTAGCCTTGGTTGTTTTGGATCCCTCAGGGTTCATCTATGAATGACAGAATGTTTGAACTTTGAAGAAAGACTGTTTTGATATGTATTGATTTGTGAATTATTTGTACAGATTGGAATGGAATTGGAAGCCATGTGCTGCACATGGCAAGGTTGGCAATAAGGGCACCAATCTTACTAATTTATTAACTTCAATATCAATGGACATTATCGAGAGTCAATGTACATGTATCTCCATATTATATTAACAGGTAACGTAAAAATTAAATTAATACTAGAGGACAATACTAAGATGAAAAAGCTTAAAGTCTTGTTCATTAAATTGTCAACCTATTCAATATAGTTCCCCAAACATATCCTTAAAAAGTTAAAATCTTATCCATTGGATAGTCTAATCTTAGTCAGTGGTATGTACCATAATAATCTTGAAGAAAAAAATGTTAAAATCATTTCCATTATATAGTCTGGTCCAATCCTATTTAGTGCTATGCACCAATCATGTTTACATTGTACATGTATCTCCATTTAATAAACATGCTATACAAAGTTAACTACAGTACTTGACAGTATTAAGAATGTGTACTATTCAATTTCATGCACAATATATCCTCAAGATCAAAATCCTTTTTTTTTTTTGTCCATTCTTATCTCAGTCACTACTGTGTGCCAAACAAGTCATATATACATTAATCTAGACTCCAAATGTTAAATTCACAGAACAACATAGAATTATGATTCTATATTATTCGGGAAAAACTATATTTTGCTGCTGTTTTGTTTCTTGTTAAACTTATGGGTAACAGTGTAGTTACATGTATGTATAAGACAAAACCATAAATGATTTCTTAATAATAAAACTGTATTGCTCATGTTCTAAAAACAGTGTTCAGGTAATAGTTTATATCAATAACAGTTCTTGTTCTGCAAAGAGAGTTGGAAATAAATGAGTGTACAATATATTTCATGATATCAAATTAATCTAGCGTTTTTTTCCATATATGTTATAGGATAAGAAATCTCATATATTCTGAAGAACATCAAATTACGCATACTAATCTTGTGGATTATGAGTCTTTCAAATGATTTTTATAATATTACTCCGGCATGAACTAACAAATACACTTTTCTTTATTTATGTAAAAAACTAACTCTTATAATGTCAAAATAAGTAACTTACTTATTTCAAATTTTTACCAATAAACAAAAGGAGATTTAATTTAAAACTTGCTTATTTCGACTTAGATATAAGTAAACCTTTTAAGCTTAGTCAAACATGCTTCAACTGTAGATTCTCTGTTGGGAAGATGTTAAAATACAATGCAACTGCAATATATACAACTCTTCCTATTGTTCTTCATGGATGATGTTGAAGTATTTCCTTCCTAGATTTTTGCAACAACTTGTAAGACCGCATGAATCATCCTTCAAACCAGCCATTCTTATGGGCTGTCCAATAAGGTGGACTCTATAGTACTCGACACTATTAAGAAAGAAAACAATAAGTGTAAATATTGTTGATTTTACTGTACAGTCTTGCTGACCAAAGAGGGAGTGGACATTATTTGTGAATCCTTCTGACGCAGGATACAATAAAAGAATTATAGGAGAAGGGGAAAGGGAAAGGGAAGAGAAGAAGAGAAAGGAGGGGGGGAAATAGAAGAGGGGAAGGTAGAAGGAGAGAGAGAGGGGAGAATAACTAGAGAGACAGAAGAGAAGTTGAGGGAGGAGAAAATATTGATCTTTATTTCATTTCCAAGTTTTATTATATCGCCCTAACCCCCTTTATATAGGGTTCAAGAATCATAACTAAAGAAATCCTATAAAAATTATTAAATCACACTCTAATCATGTTTCCTAAAATACGAATCAAAGTAGGAAACTAAATAAATAATTATCTCCTTTAATATTCCATCACCTTCGAAATGTATGGATAGAGCAGATAGATCAAAAGTGTTTATAAACGCTTCCCAAACATACTCTACATTCACCAATGAAACAATCCTTAACATGGTATCAGAGCAAGCAAAGTTGTTAGGTTCAAATCTCATTATCACCAATTTAATGAAAATGTGCACTTGTTGGGCTATGATGGGAAAAATTATTCCACCTATACATGAGGGGTCTTGTTGAAGAGAAGTTTTGAATGAAAAACATCTCTCTCTAACTGCATAAGTTTTTAGAAATCAACATCAAAAAGACAGCAGCATTTGCATTAGAAGAGATTGTTCAATAAGAAAAATTACGTCATAATATTACTTCACGAAGAGACTGATTTGATACTTAAGGTTCTTTCACATCGCATGGATCGAAAAATACACGAAATGATATCACAGAAAAGATCAGTTATTAAAAGCTAAGCCTCAGGGTCCAAAGAATCGAACTATAGATAATGGGTTAAACGTCAAAAAGAAATATTGGAAGTGTACCGAAAAGTCAAACCTGAGCAATTGATTCTTTGGCTATCGGGCAAAGGTTATTCCCAGAATGCAACTGGATTTCACTTTGCCAATGCTACCATTATTGAAGTTAGTAAAACACCTAGAGATGATGCTCATTGCTATAAAATGCACTTGAGATTGAGTAGAAACCTAAATCTGAATGGAAATTTGATATATTCACAGTTGAGTTGCTAATAAGATCTCTTTTTCTACCAATTGCAGTATTTCCTCCAACCGACGGGTAAATTTGCCAATAATATTCCTTGTCACTCTCGGTTCAAACTTGGTATTTTTCAGCCACGTGACACCAACATAGATATCGTTCTTGCAAGAGTTAAGAGCAAGAGTAGATTTCTCGATCTGGTATCTGAATTGGACCTGCATGCAAGAAGAAATAAGTCTCAACTGCACATCAATTACACTAGTTTAAAAACTGAAACTAGTCCCTTTTTTACTAGCAAAGGAAACTAAACTTACACGGAAGTGATCAGCAAATGGGACATCATGAAGGGCCATAATCTCGTGCACAACCCATCCTCCATCATTTGGTATGGGAGATTTTTGTTGTGTACAGGAAACTTCTCCTCCAAAGGTTGAGATGCGACGACTAAACCTGTAAGATATCCGTCTTTCATATACGTCAGAAGCCACAGATTCCCATGCAGTTGTCACATAGTTGAGACAGCCAGACTTGCTCATCACTTTATGTTCCAACTCTCCACCATCAAAAATTCTCATCAGTGATTTTATCTGTAGGATTGCCCCCAGAAAAAATAAAAAATTCAATGGCAAGTGTTCAATGTAGAAACGAATGTAAAACATCTACAAGAATGTAAAAATAATGGCTTGTGATGGTGTTTCTTCTTTTGATTGATTGTTTCCTTAGTAGCAGAATTTGCAAAATGAAATGAAGATTACAATTATAAGTTGACTAAAACAGTCCACTCAGTGGACATTCAATTTTCAAATTATAGAGCAATACGTGAAATGCTTACACTGATAGGAAGTACCACAGAGCAAACATGCAACATGTTTACATCGTCAAGAACCAAGTAGGATCCAGTGTCTTCATGTAAAACAGGCTTCCCCTCATCATCCAGCTGTTGTTCTGCAATATGAACTTTCTGATCCGGTTCCAGCATTCTTGTTCTCCACAAGGCCATAATCGTCCTGCCATTTTAATTTGAGACATCCATGTCACACATATTGTATTTGACAATAATTTATATCGTCTATGTAACACAGCACAAGTTCTTTGAACCAGAAATACCTGCTTGCAACATTAAAAGAAACAAAAGAGTGAAAGTGGAAATGCAGTCTTCCTTCCTCGTCTAGAATCTTTGCGCCATGCTTAGCATCAAGACCTCGACCTTTGTGCAAAATTATGACAAGTGAAGGGCTTCCAACTGTTGACAGGGATGGAGGATGCACATGAATATCTTCAATGTCCTCCCAAAGGAAGAAAAGTTTCGTTTTATGTCCAAACAAATTGGCATAAAACCCAACAATTCTCGCTGATAAGAAAAGCCGCCCCTGCAGCAAGCCAGATGGTGTGTCAAATAACAATTATGAAAACTTGCCTGGAAACTGGAAGAGCAGATAAAGGAATTAGAAAGTGAACTCCTTGATTATACAGAAGATATTGATCAAGGCCGGCCTTGAGTTTTTGGGGCCTTAGACCAATTTCAAATATGAGACCCCATATATATATGTAAAAATACATGTAAAATAAAAAAAAAAAATTTTGGGGCCCTCACCGAAGTGGGGCCTTAGGCAATCGCCTACCCCGCCTATAATCGGGGCCGTCACTGATATTGATAAGAAAAAATAGCTTTGGGAACTGTGAAATCCATCTTCATGTTGCATCGCCAATAGGGGAATTTGGAGTGTTAATGGTAATCAGATATGTACAGAGACTTGCTTAGATAATGCATGTTCAACTCACTCATCGTTTTACAATTATGTTTGAAGCTAATGTACTTGAACTAGTGACTTGTTCTCCTGGTTTTCTATAGCACAGCAAAAATGTCAAGATGGGCAACGTAACTGCCTTTTGATTAAAACGTAATCAACAATTTGTTTTTTTAGCACAACAATGCATTTAACAGGATAAAATTGTTGGATTCCCAAGCTTTTATATGTCATTATTTACTCGCCTTAACTGTGATTGTTTCTTTAATTAGTTTGAGAAATGTCCTTACCTTCTCCTTTACTGGTTTAGAGAGAAGTGGGATGGAAGAGGAAGCAAGGGAGATAGTTTAAAGGAATTGAGAGGGTAGATAGATTTGAAACTTATCCAACTAAAAGGCCAATGGAAGAGGAGTCTTACCTGCAATGGCATCTTTCTTTTCAATGAACAAGAAAAATCACTGATAAGAAATTCTTCTGGCGGCAATCCAAATATTTTCTGAAACGTCGAATTCCTGTGTGGTGATCGAATGTTCAACTGCAAGAAAAATTCATAAGGACAAGTAAAGATCGCCAATAACAATTTCCAGGTGCAATGTAAAATAAGCACAATCTTACCTTCTTTCCAACTTCTTTTTCCATTTTAGCCAAATAATCTCTAATTGTTTCAACTCCATTGTTATTATCCAAAAAGATTCTCACATGCAGCTTTGACTGAGAAGACTGAGCAATTTTTCCCTCAAGTGGAACCCAAAAATCTGCTAGTTCGGTAGATGTATGCTTTAAAAAATTGATCTCAGCATGCCCAAGAGACGATG